AAAAAAAATTGTTCTTACGAAAATTTTATATAAGTTCATATCCAGTATATTTTATAATATTTAAAATGTAAATTAAGAAAAATTATATACTTATATAAAATTTTATATTGGTTTATGTAATTGTTTGAATTATTTATAGGTTGATTTAACTTGATTATATAACATAAATCACTAGATATCTTTTTAATGTAGAAGTCGAAGTTATTTAATATTTTTATTTTAAAACTTCTATTTTCTGAAAAGAGATAACTGAGATTTTATCAAATTTGCGCTTATATGGAGTGTTTGGCTTAGAGAATTAATAAAAGAAAAGTGTATAAATTGAAAAATTATCATAATTTAATGAAAAAGTTGTTTTCTTCTAGTACAAAAATTTCGACATTTAAGCACACTTCAATGTGTGTACTAACAGAGATATTGCAAATGTCCAACTTGCATTCAATAGCATATAAGGTTTGACATTGTCGATAACCTGACAGATTCTGCCTCAGACTATTCAAATTATGCACAGATGTACGATTCACTCGATTATTTACAAAATCCCACATGGAAAAAGTCCAGTAGAGTAAGAAAATTGTTCTTAATCTTAAGATAAGACAGTAGATTTCTATTGTCTGGGATACTCCACCCAGAAATTGCTTTATCAAAATCGAGGAGCCACATCTTATTGAAAAATGTCATTAGGAATAAGTTGCAAGATAGCACAAGTTGCAACATGTCCAAATAACATGCTTCAGTCAAGGTGACTTATCACCTGGTTCATTGTTAAGTACACTTATTTCGCCATTCTGCATATGTGCTAGTAACTGCAGCGTCAAGGTATCGTATTTCTTACAAATGCCAACATAAAATACATACCGATGCCCAGTCTTATACGAATACATCACAAGCTATATTTTTTTCTTTTTTAATCTTTACCACACAATTAAGTGCACAGGTAGAAACTAGGCATTTTTTACATCACTCTTTGTTCTGCAATATCGCCGATACGTGTTTTGGGCATACACCTTCATCTGTCGGCTACAGAATGGAATTTGAACATCTATAAATCACATTACCAAGTTACTATAATAGTGATTTACAAACTTACCTTCTGAAACGTACAGTACGTAGAAGGCACGGTTTCTGAAAACTACAATAATTTTTCTTTTATTCAACCGGAAACACTATATTAAATTCAAAATTAAACAGAATTTTGATATATAATGTAACCAAATTGTTCTCGGAATTTTAATAGCAGAAAGGTTTTGTTTTGTACCGAAAATGTAAACGTCATTTTTACACTAAATTTTATAGCAATAACAGTATGTAATACTAGATGGCATTTATTTTGTCTATATAATTTTGCTGCCTTGTCTATTGTATTGTACACTGTAATTCTATACTATGTATATTACAATATGTATAGATATTATATATCTAGCTTACAAGTTAGATATTACAAACACGTAATATCTAAGTTGTAATCAAATTTTAAGTTAGTAAAGTTTTGATATTAATTATATATATATTTTTCCTTTTAGAAAACGTTACCTTAAAAGAACATCATGTCGTCTTTCATAAATACGTTGTGCCACCGCGTATGTAGGACAAAAGCATCTGTAGCAGCAGATCCTATGGAAACCCAACTTAGAAGATGCCTTTCAACTTTCGATATTACTTTATTAGCAATTGGTCACATGGTTGGATCGGGTATTTATGTCTTGACAGCTTCAGTGTCACATAAAATGGCCGGACCTGGTATAGTGGTATCTTTCATTATCAGCGGTATAGCATCATTATTGGCTGCGTTATGTTATGCCGAATTAGGAGTTCGATATCCAAGAGCCGGATCAGCCTATTCTTATACATATTTGGCAGTAGGAGAATTTTGGGCCTTCATAGTAGGATGGAATGTTTCTTTGGAAAATATCATAGGCCTGGCTGCAGTTTCACGTGCCTGTAGCGCTTATATCGATTCATTATTAGGAGGAATTATTAAAAATGGCACCATTGGTTTAGTTGGTACCAACCACTCGGGTTTTTTGGCTGAAAGTTTCGATTTTCTGTCACCTGCTATATTAGTCGTCTTCGTGGTGTTTCTTTCTTTTGGTGCTAAACTGACTTCATACATCAACAACTTTTTCTCAATGATTAATATGGGAGTAATTTTAGTCATCATATGTGTAGGTGCTTACTTCTCGGATATTAAAAACTGGACTAATAAAGAAACTGGAGGTTTTTTACCTTTTGGATGGGAAGGAGTGTTTGCTGGTTCTGCCTCTTGCTTTTATGCTTTTGTGGGTTTTGACGCCATTGCTACAGCTGGTGAAGAAGCTAGAGAACCTCAGAAATCTATCCCGATTGCAACATTTTTGGCCATGGGTATTGCTACTGTTGCTTATGTTGGTGTTTCATCCGTACTTACTTTAATGATTTCTTATAAAGATATTACCAGTGATGCAGGTCTTGCAGATGCTTTCGCCGTACATAACGTTCCATGGGTAAAGATAATTGTTATTGTTGGTGCTTTATGTGGAATGGCCACGGGTTTAATCGGAGGACTGTTTGCTTTAACTAGAGTAGTATATAGCATGGCCGAAGACGGACTTCTCTTTAAATTTTTCTCAAGAGTAAGTAAAAACACGCAAATACCTCTTGTGGCTATGTATGTATTTTCGTTTCTATCCGCCATGCTTTCCATGCTGTTAGACATCAATACACTAGTTGAACTATTGTCTATTGGAACTCTAATGGCCTATTTGGTTGTAAGTGCTTCCGTTTTGATTCTGAGATATCAACCAAGGAAACTTATTGGAATTTATAGTAACGAAAGTCAAGAACTGTATTCAATGGGTGGTGGTTCTAGTACACCTGGATCCGAAGAAAAATTATCGCCAATTGATGAATGTGGTGGACAATTGAAAGACAGATATTTTTTTCTTAGCCGATTTTTCTGTTTTGGATTGGAACCTGGAACAATGGTTAATATATGCGTTGTGTCTTTGGTGGCTCTTTTTTTGATATTAGGAGGTTTAATTAAAGGTCTACCAACTCAAATTGCAGCGAAAGAGTGGTGGGTTATATTAATAATGGTGGTGTTATCGTTAATGATTATAATTGTATTCTTCACTATTGTAATACATGAGCAGAGTTCCATGCCTCTTAAATATAAGGTATGTACAGTACGTTATAATTCACATATTACATATTTATGACTGTTTAACTTCAACAATATAATTCGACATTTTTAATAGTTTTCAATAGAATAAAAATAAATATATTAAAATACCTTTGAATTTAGAATTGAAAATTTAGAGGTATTTTTAAGATGAATTTTTATAAACAGCAATGATTTATGCAAAATTTCTCCGGTAACTTCTTCCTCATTCTGTTATTCATTAACAGAATAATCGATGAAATTGCTGCATATCATTTTAAATAATTAGGCATTATACACTGGTAGTAAATTCGATTTAAAATATCTATTGAGTTATTTTTCTTTGTGTCTTTTATTATTTAAATTTATTAAATTTAATAATAAAATTTAATCATAGGTTACATAAATAAATGAATTTATCTTGTTGCAGAAAATCTTACAAAAAAAGAAAAAAGGATTATTATTCTTCACATCATTACTATTTATCATCATACAAAAATGATATAAAATGAAAGAAAAATCATGAGTTTTCTATTTGTCTTACTTTATATTTTCTTGCTTCTAGAGGAGAAATAAACAATTTATAAACGTTATTATTCTCTGAGAAAAATGTAATATATTTAGGGCGGAAAAGTTGGCGGAAATATGTCACCCTTCTCATTTTTTAGGACATTAATTACGTATTGTAAATTAACCTTTCTTCTCTGATTATACTTAAGCAGTTTATATAATTTTCTGAGTATTAAGTTTTTAGTTTTATCTTCTATATTTTATTCATTAATTACATACTGTTCATTTTTATGTTATAAGTCAAAATAATACAAATTCGATAGAATTATGATTTCTTTTTAATTTAAAAACTTTATTTACATTAAATATTTTGTTATATTATTAATATTAAATCTGTTGTAGGTTCCTTTTGTGCCATTATTACCTGTTTTAAGTATTCTATGTAATGCATTTTTGATGACCAATTTACAACCTCTCACCTGGGTCAGATTATTAGTATGGGTGGCGATAGGTAAATAATCTGTGACTATTATTATTATTGTGACGTTTATTAATATTTAAACGTTGAAATAATTTTATTTTTTATGCAATTATATTCTTTCTTCAGGTTTAATTCTATATTTTTCTTATGGTATGAGGCATAGCAAACTTAACACGCTCATACCAACTTCAAATTCTTCTTTACTGCAACCTGGAACCAATATTACAGCGTATAGTGCTGGACAATCTACAGACTCTAGTTATGGAACACCCGCAACAAGTGCTCGACCCTCAATTGAAAAACTGGACGAAGAAATCAAGTCACATAATTAAAAGTCACAACTTCGAGTTTATAAACTTTGTGACAAATTTATACGATTTTATTCATCTGTAAGTCCATAATATTTTCTATACCTCAGTTGTAGATGTAAGTTATTTATCTATAAAAATCATTATCAAGAGTATAGTTTGTTAACCAGGAAGACATTTAATACTATCAATATATGCTATATATATATATATATAAGTATTCAGATATAAAATCCTTTTATGCAGTTTGTTATTCTGATAAAGAAATAAAACTTCATTAACCGGTTTGGTACCTAAAGGAGTGAGCGCGATATGGTACTAAACTTTGTTGTAATATCTGGTAACTTTATTGTGATAGTTAATATTCGGATGAAAATCAATTTATATACAATTTATAAGGTAAACTATTAATAAATATAATAACTTCGAGAGATGAAACAAGGTATAAAATGTAAAACCACGTACGAGGGCGATTCGACGTCTGTCTAGAATTTCAGTAAAGCAATGGAGATGTATGTATTACATAGTTCCAATTTATGTTTTCTTTAGATACTCCCCAACGAACTAGAATATACTACATAGAGTAGCTGTGACCATGGTTACAGAGCTCTTGGTGAGTACTATCGACCGCCATTTTACTTTCAGTCAAAACATCGAAGTTTGTACCACGTGTTTCGCAGGATTGTCACTTTAGAATCTATTTTTCTCATTTAAATTTAGATTGATTTGATATTTTGAGATTTAGGCAATTAGATAAGTGATATAAATCTAGATTATTTCATCTCGAATTTAGCTATTTTCTAGATTTATTTAATTATTATAAAGAAGGTAAGATTGGTTTTTAAAGTGGTAAGTGTAGTTCCTAACCCTCAATATAACAATATTTTTATAATTTAAGTACGAGCCAAGCCTTGTAGGGCTTTAATCTCAGCCATATCATTGTTTACTTATACACTATAAGACTGATACACTATAATTTATAGTGTATCATTTATACTATAGTCACTATAGTGTATAATTTATAGTGTTCAGACTGACCTGATACACTATAAATACTCAGTACGTTGTTGATTTTTTCGGACAATGTTTTTTTCTTTTGCAGAATATAAGTACAGTAGACCCCCTATAACACTTAGATACGTTCCACGCTAATCGAATTTTACGTTGTAGGAATGATTAAATACATGAGCCAATCGCAGCCCGATAGGTGGAAACTTTACGGACTAAGGCTGTTCGAAAGGTTTTCTTCTATAAAATTAACCGATTCTAGACTAATTCGACTCAACATTTCCAAAACACGTATAATTTTTTGGGAGTAATCCGTATAAACTATGCTATAAACAAAAAATTATAGGATTACTTACCGAGTGTGTACCGTTCGACTACGCCGTTGCTTAAAGCTGGTTTTCGTCGCGGAACAGCACATGAAACGACAGCCGCGATTTCTAATAACGAATTTTTCGCAGAAAAATAACTTGACCTTTGGAGACATCATTAATATAAATAATTTTTATGGCCGTTGAATAAGAAGTGTTTCTTTCACAAGAAATTTATAAAATTAGTGCTGTATTAGACTTACGGTACCTAATTTACATACTGTACAGGCGATAATAAACTCAACTTACTAGCCTAAAATCTCCGTAGCGTGTTGCCAGGCGGCAGAAAGCATATATATAATTATAATAAAGTTACAACAAATTAAGTTAATATATAATTATATATACAGTACCTAATTTATATATAATTAATATATAATTATATGTACAGTACCTAATTTATATATAATACTAAACAGACGATAGCAAACTCAATTTAGCCGCTCCGTAGCGTGGCGCAGGGTCGGAGGAAAGTAGTTCGGCTTCTCATCCACTATTGGTCCAGACTCTATCAATCTTGTTGCGAAACGACGTTATAGGAGGTACTTTATACGAAAGTTTCTACAATTTTTTCGCTACGTTATAGGAATTGTCGTTATAGGAACGTACGTTATAGGGGGGTCGACTGTAGTGTTCTTATGTTTTTATTATAATTATGGTTTGTTTGTGAAAATTTTGGTTTCAACTTGTGAAAATATTTACAATGAAAAACTACATTTTGGCCTTTGTCATGTTGTGAACCATATTGGTGAAATTAAAATCCTTCTAAGAGGTAATAAGGAGCTAATAATTGTGAAAAATGGAAGAATTATGGCATTTTCTCATCAAAAATAGACAAAGAAAACGTTCCAGTAAGCGAAAATCTTAATGTTGATTGTAGTAATGAGTTTTATAAAAATATTCTAAATGTTAATAACGGATAACGTCTTCGTTAAGTCCTACCTCTTTCGAGATGTGGCACAAAACAATCCTCTATCTCTCCAACCCTTTAATGTTAAGGAGCTACGATGCTATTAAATAATAATAAGAGACATTGATACGAAGCATTGATGTTCCTTATCAGTTTAATAGCATCAATTTATGCCAACACACACATACACGGAATATTTTTTTCTTTTTTTGACTTTTTTGGGTTTAGGAGGTTTAGGAGATTTACAAAAAACTCTAATCAAATTTGAATTTTGGTCAAATTTGACACAATTCCAATGCTTTCCCTTGTTATGTATACATAACGACTGGGAAAGTGAAATAAAGAATGTTTAGAAATGCTTTTAACTTATCACTACGAAATATTTTTTTCTTATTAAAACCGTTTAAAGGGTTAAAGAAAGAAATGTCTTGTTATTTACTTTCAAAATTAAAAAAAAAAAACTAAGTAGGGCCATTTTGACACGCACCATATCAATAGTTAAGGGTTAAAACTCTTCTTTGCATACTTTTACATAATCAGTTACAATATTGTAGCTCGTTGCCTTCACACAACACAAATGCTACGCTCCTTGTGTAAAAGGAAAATGGCGGACGTGTATTCAATTTTCTTCCAACATGGCGTCACTACAGCTATTCTATGTAGTAAGCTATATTCTAGTTCGTTGGTACTTCTCCTCTATATGCTGACACTTCTTTCATTATTTTGGTAACTATGCTATATCTGCAGAATAGAAATCTTTTAGCTGGTATCGATGCACGGCCATGCACGAAATGGAGGTGATCAACCTACTTGATTGGGAAATTCTGGATCGCCGGCCTATAGTCTGCATGTGTTTGGCCTTTTGGAGCCTTGGAAGACAGGAAATTTTCCTAGAATGCTGAAGTCATAAAGTTCGTCAAGCAGTCGCTCCAACATTAACTAAAATATTTCTACTCTGAGGACATAGCGTCGTTACCAAAATGATAATAGAAATATCAGCATGTGTAAGGGGAGTGCCTAGAGAAAGAAACTTTAAATTGAGATTGTAACAAACAAAGTTCCATCGCTATTATTGAAATTCCAGACAGAACTTGAACCGCCATCCTATGTGCTGGATTTTCTTGAACAAAATTGTTGGAGACAAGGAAATCCGCTAATTTCCACTTAATTTACTATTGTTAAGGTTTTTTTTTAAAAAAAAAATATGATTTAGCCATATCTTAAAAGCACGACCAAAATATATTTTAAAAATTGCAAACATTATCTATTAAAATTTTAATTTTTCACAGATCTATAAAAGAATATTATTTTGATTACGATCTCTCAAAGTTATTGTAACTTATCAGTTAAATGTTTACTATATATATATGTGTGTGTACAGTCTATACAGAAAAATACATGTTTAAAATTGTATCTCGTTATTTATTGTTCTATTTACGTGCTGCACTTTTTAAATGTGTAAGCACCAGAAGCCATGTGCCTCAAAAAATTCATATATTTAAAAATATTTTTTAAATGTTGTAGATCTTAATTTAAAGTAATGTGCCTAACAATTTAGTGTTCACAATTGTTATCATATATAATTTTGGCATCACTGTAATTTATTATTGGTGGATTTTTCTCTGTTTTAAAGTGAAATATATTAAAATTGTAAATACAATATTTGAAATTATGTGAAAAAGAATCAAGAAAATATTAAATGATTTATAATTACAAATACAGAAGCAAATGATATGTTTAAACATGAACTTAATTTATATCCATTTTTTTAAAAAATAAATAGTTAATGATTACAAGTTATTTATACAGATAATTTAGTTTTATAATTTATTATATAAGATTTTAAAATAGCTATCATGTAAAAATGTCTTTAAAATATTGTTGAACTTTCTAAATATATAATTTTTGAAGTAAAATGAAATATTACTTGAGTAATATTATAAAATCAGCTTCGATAACCATTTAAAATATAATTTAGAAGACTTTTTAGTAAGGAGATTATAAGCTAAGATGTGCCAATGTTGTTAAAAGACGACAACTAATGCTTAAATATTAACAAAATATGAAAAGAGTAAGAAAGTTTGAAAGCAAGAATTGCCTTTGTACTTCCAAAATTTTAATGTAACAATCTGAATTTTATAAATAAATTTAGTATAGAAATGAAATTTGTAGATAAAACTTTTTTTTTACAATAATCAAGATTTATAAGCTAATTATTTTTCTTGTTAAATGTTTGAAGAATAAGCAAAAATGAATAGATTAGAATTGACATCAAATATCGTTAGTAATAAAGAAAACATTATGTTTTCTTACGTGATACATTAAAAAAATATTAAAGTAGATAGAATTTCTGAAGTTGCGTAATATCAAATGTTTAAATTTATATATAATTATCTAAGAAAAATAACGAGAGTCTTGATCAGAGATATGTTTAATAAATGTAATATTTTTATAACAATTTAATTATTAAACAGATACTTTAAAAAAATTACAATTGTTCGATTTCGTTGAGGTACCGGAAATCCTCGTTATTTCGAAATTCAAGAGAGAAAATAATTGCGACTTCGAATTAACGAGTTGTAGACTACATATTTCTGTATAATATGCGAATACCACGTATACAGAACGCTATTTTCGTTAATTAACAATAATAATATAAATAAAATGCAGGTAAACAGCACCTGTCCGGTGAGAATAGTCATTATTAATTTTTTCCGCATAGTACCCCCCGTTGGGAATTGCCATTTTATAATATGGAGGCACTTCGATCTAAACGAATGAGTTAACATACGCATGTGACAGTTCGGACAGAATTTTCATTTCGAATTTTGAAATAGCCGTATTTCGAACTAATTGAATTCATTAACATGTAATAACATGTTATAACTTCCGCGAGGGCACTTTTTTCTACTTTGGAAAAATTCCAGCACGATTTGAACACGTTGTTCGTCGCCATTTTTCTGACGTCATAAACAAATGACCTGACTGGTTAAACGACTACTGAGAGAGAGAAGGGCGTAACAGCAAAGAAAGTAAGAGCCAACGTTTTGCCGAGATTCGTTTAGATGGCGTTCAGAAATAGACGATCGTCGTTTTTGCAACGCATTTTAAACCGCGGTTCAACCAGCCAACGTCTAGATGCCGTTCAGCTGTTAAACGTCGTTTAACGTAAACTATGTTTCTGNACGCCCCCCAATTCTCTTTGAGCCTTCTACTGCCCCCCTGAAAGCCTCCAGCGCCCACAAGGGGGCGTTATTGCCCACTTTGAGAAACGCTGATCTAAACGAACGAGTTAACATACGCATGTGACAGTTCGGACAGAATTTTCATTTCGAATTTTGAAATAGCCGTATTTCGAACTAATTGAATTCATTAACATGTAATAACATGTTATAACTTCCGCGAGGGCACTTTTTTCTACTTTGGAAAAATTCCAGCACGATTTGAACACGTTGTTCGTCGCCATTTTTCTGACGTCATAAACAAATGACCTGACTGGTTAAACGACTACTGAGAGAGAGAAGGGCGTAACAGCAAAGAAAGTAAGAGCCAACGTTTTGCCGAGATTCGTTTAGATGGCGTTCAGAAATAGACGATCGTCGTTTTTGCAACGCATTTTAAACCGCGGTTCAACCAGCCAACGTCTAGATGCCGTTCAGCTGTTAAACGTCGTTTAACGTAAACTATGTTTCTGCAATCGGCTGCCAGTGTTCAGGGAAGGAACCGCTTGTCAACTGGTGGGCGATTAATTTCTGTCTATATTTGATTGCTGGCTTTACATGTAGCGTCATAAAAAAACACAATTATTAACTAAATATAATTCTTTGAAAAAAAAGATATAATTTTTTTAAAAAATGTATATTATATTTACTGAATTACTACGAAATAGACGCGCCATTACACCATTACTGC